AGACTGTCCCGAGTGGCAAGTTGGGAGAAATCCAGAGAGGGATACAGAAAACAGAGGATGTTGGTCACACACAGACGTGGCAGAGCAGCCCAGGTATGTGAGAACACGCGGTTCTGCAGCGCTGTCATCTGCCCGCAGACGGATGGGCTGAGGGCGGATCCACAAGCCCGGGTCGTGCCGTCATCTCGCCTGCCCTGGCAGCCAGACGGCATCTTCACCTGGGGGAAGAACGTGTGCCTGGGAAGAAGAGAGGGCTTGCTTTCCTGGGACCTTGCCTGATGGCCTGGGGTTACAGGGACCCCACCCATCCGTGAGGGCAGCTCTCCCTGAGCGGGAGTCCACCGCCCCTGAGCTTGGGACCACCCACCTGCAGGGGTCAGGTGACAGAGACTGATCACATCGGACAAGCCTGTGTCCTGTGTCTTTTCTCTTCCCTGACCCCATCGGGGGGTGGAGAGTGGAGGCAGTAAAACCACCTAATCTCACCTGCCTAGGCTTCATATGATGGTTCCTAAGACAACTAGTCACACATCTAGGCTCTGGGTCCAAGGTGAGGGTCAGCAAACACGGAGGGGAGGGAGATGTCCGAGCACAGAGCATCCCGGGCTAACAGAACAGCAGGTGCAAAGGCCCCGAGTGAAGAGCATGTGAGGTGGGTCTGGAAAGAGCCAGGCTGCCACCAGGCTGCAGGAGGAGTGGGTGGAGATTGGGGCTGAGTCATATTAGGACTTAATGGTCATTGTCCGGGCGCTGAACCTTCTGCTCAGGGAGGCGGGAAGTCACTGGAGCAGAGGGATGGCCGACCTGCCCGAGCTGCGGGGCTCAGGGCGGGCTGCAGGGGACACGGGTAGAACCAGAAAGCTATCACAGCAGTCCAGGTGAACACTGATGCACTGTCCAGGCAGGAGTCGCGGACGAGATGAGAGGCAGGTGGAGTCGGGGTATATTTTGAAGACCGGAGTCAGGATTTCCTGATGGAAGAGATGGGCCAGGGAGAGGAAGAGAGAGCCAAGGATGATTTTGGGGTCTGAGCGATGAAAGGATGGTGTTCCCAGGTTCTGAGCTGGGGGAGACCTGGGGAGAAACAGGTTTTGGGGGAGGGGAAACCAGAGTCTGATTTTGGACTTAAGTCTGAGTTGCCCATTGTGTTTCCAAGGAGGATGTTGAGTTGGCAGGTGGAGATACATCTGCCGTCTTTAGCCTGAGAAAAAGATCCAGGCAAGAGATGTGTAAGCAGCAGTCCTCAGTACTGGAAGATATTTGGGGCCTTCAGGAGGGATATTATCCAGGGAGCGAATGATGACAGGGAAGAAAAGTTAAGGACCGGGCATCTGGGGTAAGCAGACAAGGAGGAAAACAGGAAGACAAGGTTGACTGATTGGAAAACTGCCTTGAGGAGCCGTGGGTGGGGAAAGATGCCGCCTGTGGGTGGAGCCATGAGCTGAAAAGTCATCCTTGATCTAGTGCATTCCATCTTTGGGACACTTTGCTACCTGGAAGCTGGTAATGAGCACACAGCCATTCTTTAAACGGTAAATGGATTTAAATGGAAAAGCAGATTCTTTACCAGTTGAGCTGCAAGGGAAGCCCACACAGCCCACAAAGTTTACTAAATCAGCACTGGAGTGAATCACAAAAGGTGTTGCCAGGTAACCAGGTTTCCATCTGGGGATTCACATATAACCAGGGAGCATGAATTGGTCAACCTCCCAGGAAAGAGGAGACTGCCCTCCAGGAGATAATTTTTTTTAAAAACTCAATTTTTCCTTTAAGTATAATTAAGTTTTTAAAACTAATTTAATTTATGTATTTATTTTTGGCTCTGCTGGGTCTTTGTTGCCGCATGGGTTTTTCTCTAGTTGCAGTGCACGGGCTTAGTTGCTCTGTAGCATGTGGGATCTTCCTGGACCAGGGGTCGAACCTGTGTCCCTTGCATAAGTGAGTTCCTCATCACTGAGCCACCAGGGAAGCCCCTATCACTAAGTTTTGACAGATGTATTCAGTCATGCCCCTGCACCACAACTGAGATGTAGAACATTTTCACTTGCCCCCAAAATTAATTAAAAATTAATTTTTAATTAAAAAAAAACTTCCTCACCAGCCCTGACCCACTGCCGCAGACTAGCTTTGCGTGATGTATTGACAACCTGGTGTAGCTTAAAGGCCACGGAATCTGAAACCAGCTTGAAGACAGCTTGGCAGCTCACAACAATTCTGTGTCTAAATAGGGCGAAAGCAAGCGGCTTGTTTTACCATCTAAAGCTCACATGGAGTGCCTCGCTTCCCAGGTCTGGCTCAGGACAGCCACCCACGGGGGAGTCCCAAGAGGTCAACCGCCTTGGTCAATAGACAGGCTTGTCCCCTTTGAACTGCATACACTTCAGGCCGCAAACTTAAAGGGAGGTGTCTGTGTGTGTCGGGGCTGAGGGTGTGGTAGGGCTGCCCCCTCGGCCCCCACTGGACTCAGAACGAAGTTGGAAGCCCTCCCCTGGACGAAGGAGAGAGCTAGGGCTCCTTGACCAGCACGGGCCACCCCAGGGGAGCTGATTGAGGCTGTCTTAGTGATGCTGAGAAACCAGCTCACAGCTCCTCCATCCATTCCCTGGAGGGAGGAGGACCAGCGGAGGGGAGAGGGGTGGAGAGGTGACCTTTCCACACCGGCCACTCACAGAACTGGCCACAGGGGCTTTCTTTCCCCAGACGGGCCCGCCCCGGCCCGCGGCCGGCCCCCCTCCCCCAGCTCCCCCCACCGCGGTCCGCCCCCGCAAATGGCTGCTGAGCCCAGGCCGTCCAGCAGGGGGCAGCAGCTGACCCACCGCCTGGTCCTCTGACTCCGGGGCTCAGAGCACTTAGGGCTGAGGCGGTAGGAGAGACTCCTGAGATGGTGATGGGTCACTGCCCGCAGCACGCTGTGTGTTCATTTGCGAAGAAAGAGCTGAGACCACAGAGAGCTGGGGTTTACATTCGGAACCCTTGAGCTTGGGCAGAACCCTCGCCATCTCAGTGTTTGCAGCTGGTCTGGGTCAGCACCTTCCAGCAGCGTGCCTTGGGAGTTCACGGATTTTTCTGCGTCTCTGTTGTCTTCTGTCAGCTGGGAGGAGCACAGCACTGATACGCGAGCAGTGTGGCCACGGCCGGGACGCAGGCAGTGCTCCTGTTGTGATTATGTGATGGTCGTTCGGTGAGGTGTCAATGTGTCACGCCAGGGGTACGGTGTCAGGACCCTGTGACTGTGGGCATGGCCTTTGTGAGGGCGGGACTTTCTCCCCTTGCCTGCAGAAGACGATGGATCTAGTTGCTGACAGCTCACGTAGGGGCTTCCTAGGTGGCTCCGTGGTAAAGAATCCGCCTCCAGTGCAGGAGCCACAAGAGACTCAGGTTCAGTCCCTGGGTCGGGAAGATTCCCTGGAGGAGGAAATGGCAACCCACTCCAGTGTTTCTTGCCTGGAGAATCCCATGGACAGAGGAGCCTGGCGGGGTACAGTCCATGGTGTAACAAAGGGTCAGACACGACTGAGCACTGAGCATGCATGCACATGCCTGACACAGGTGGGAAGTCAGGCATTTCCTCCCAGGAGTCTTTGACTGTAATAAAGGCCCTCGCTGGGGGTCTAGATGGTGTGATTAAAGAAGTACAAAAAGTCCAAATCTGGACGGAGGTCAGAGGGCAGTGGCCTGGGTCTGTCCTTTCCTGCTGTCTAGTGTGGTCTCTTTCCCCAGCTGGGCTTGGATTAAACCATCTTCAGGGTCCATTCTTGCTTGGAAGCCTTTGATATCTGAACCAAGTTAATGCTTTGAATCCCCCAAGGCAGAGTCCATCAAGCATGGGGAAGATAAGGAAAAATTCATCAAATCTCTCATCTGCCAACAACACCTGAATTTCCATTAAATTCCTATTCTAAAGCCGATTTCTCCTGCTGCTTCGAAGAGCAGAGGAGGGTTGCCAGTGGGTCTAATCAAGCCGGCCCCAGCTGCTGGCAAACAGGAGAGCAGTCTTGGCTTCCTAAGGTAATGAGAACCGGTTGCCAGGTTCTTACACTTTATTCTTTCCTGGAGGTTTGGGGAATCAAAACCAGGCTGCTTCTGAGCAAACCTGGACAGTCACCCGGAAGATGAGATCAATGCGAGTCTGAAAGTAAAGAACCCACCTTTTCTTTTCTAAAATGTTGTGGGAATATATCAGTTCAGTTCAGTCGCTCAGTCTTGTCCGACTCTGTGACCTCATGGACTGCAGCACGCCAGGCCTCCCTGTCCATCACCAACTCCTGGAGCTTGCTCAAACTCATGTCCACTGAGTTGGTGATGCCATCCAACCATCTCATCCTCTGTTGTCCCCTTCTCCTCCCGCCTTCAATCTTTCCCAGCATCAGGGTCTTTTCCAATGGGACAGCAGCTCTCATCAGGTGGCCAGGGTATTGGGGCTTCAGCTTCAGCATCAGTCCTTCCAATGAACGTTCAGGACTGAGCTCCTTTAGGATGGACTGGTTGGATCTCATTGCAGTCCAAGGGACTCTCAAGAGTCTTCTCCAACACCACAGTTCAAAAACATCAATTCTTTGGCGCCCAGCTTTCTTTATAGTCCAACTCTCACATCCATACATGACTACTGGAAAAACCATAGCCTTGACTAGACAGACCTTTGTTGGCAAAGTAATGTCTCTACTTTTTAATATCCTGCCTACGTTGGTCATAACTTTCCTTCCAAGGAGAAGGTGTCTTTTAATTTCATGGCTGCAGTCACCATCTGCAGTGATTTTGGAGCACCCCCCCCCCAATTAATTAGTGAGATCCTAGTTCCCTGACCAGGGATTGAACCTGGGCCCATAACAGTGAAAGCACTAAGTCCTAACCACTGGACCACCAGGGAATTCCGCGGGAATACACACATAACATGAAATCTGCCGTACCATTTCTAAACATCTCGTTTTCGAAGAGTGGGACACAACTGAGTGACTAGCACGCTCGCAGACGTGTAGTTCAGTGGCTTTAAATACACTCACGTCATTGGGCGACCATCACCACCATCCCCTCGAGAGCATTTTTCCTCTTCCCAAACCGAAGCTCTGTCCCCATCAAACGCCAGCTTCCCGTGCGCCTTCCCCCAGCCCTTGGCAACCAGCCTCCTACTTGCCATCTCTGTGTCTTTGACTTCTCTATGACCTCACACAAGCGGGACCATACACGACTTGTCCTCTGATGACTGACTTGCTTCACAGCTAGCATCTTCGAGGGTCGTGTGTGTTGTGGCCTCTGTGAGGACCCCTTCCTTCCCAAGCCTGAGCCGTGCGCGGACTGCATTTTGTTTATCCCCTTATCCCTCGCGGGCACTTGGGTGGCTTCCGGCTCTGCGGCTGCTGTGAAGAGTGAGTCTAAGGATCAGGGTGCCATGCCAGGAGCTGCCCTGTGACCTGCGTTCACTGTGGACCCCTACCCCTGCTCAGGAGTTCCTGTTCCCAGCCCTGGGGTTTCTCTCAAAGAAAGCGATGCCAATCTGTTTCCTTTCTGGAATGCCCAGGTGTCTTCCAGAATGATGCAACACAGAGCAGAGAAGAAATGATTGTGGGCTGGCAAATTGTAAGTCAGGGTTCCCTAATGTCCATTTCCCACCAAAGTAGAATCTTAACACGCTGCTCACAGCACCAGGTATTAGAATCAGCCCTGGGTATTAGAATGTGGACGAAATTCTGATGGAGTCTCTAGGATGTGTTAACCCAATTATAAACACGCTCCCCCTCGCATCCCTACCCCCAAAATAAGAATAAATGCTAACTTGTTGAAGAGCATCGTACAGAAATATTCTTCTGGAGCCTTCTGAAATCTGGCAGGAACCACTGAAGTTTTGGCTTCTGCCTTCGGAACGCACTTCTCGACAATGACTGTTTAATAAGCTCAGCTGCTTTACATGGGCATTTCTGCAGGTCTTCCCGTGAATGTTTGAGGATGCATGTCTCCTGCTTTTTTTTTTTTTTTTTTTCTGGCAGGGATATATGTTTCTTATTCCTCTAAAAGCAGCATGGAGCTTTTTAGTTAGTCAAATTCAGTTAAAAGGAGGGAAAGTGGGCAAAAGGCACAAAGAGATATTTCTCTGAATCCAGATGACAAGTAAGCACAAAAAAAGATGTTCAGCATCAGTAGCCATCAGGGAACAGGAAATGAAAATGACAACGAGATATCTCTGCAGAATCTGTCAGAAGGGTTAAAATAAAAGAACGACAACACCACGTGTTGAGAAGGACACGGAGAAACTGGATCCCTCACCAATCGCTGCTGAGAATGTAGCACGGTACTGCTGCTTCAGAAAATAGCTGGGCAATTTCTTATAAAACTAGACATGGGATTTTCATAGACCCAGAAATTTTACTCCTGGACATTTATTCCAGAGAAATGAAAATTTATGTTCACACAAAAAATCTGTATACAAATATCCATAGCAACTCTTTTTTGGATAATTAGCACCAACTGAAAAAAAAAAACTCAATACAAATATTTTCTTATGTTCTGTGGGCTGTCTTTCCAGTTCACACTTTCCAAAAATGATATTTGACATGCATCTGTTTAAGTCTACTTTGAAATTCACAGCAAAGCATCAACATGTAAAGCTTCGATTTTGAAAGCTTAGATTCTTAGACCTGAGAATGCGTTGTGGACGCAGATGCCCCATTTGAGGGACAAACAAACTGAAGCCTGGGCAGATGGAGTCTCACCGAAGGTCTGTGCTGACACTCAGCCTCTCAGCTCTGTCCCACTCTGTGCGACCCCGTGGACTGAGGCCCGCCAGGCTCCTCTGCCCGTGGGATGCTCCAGGCAGGAATGCTGGAGTGGTTGCCATGCCCTCCTCCTGGGGATCTTCCCGACCCAGGGACCAAACTTGAGTCACCTGCATTGGCAGGTGAATTCTTTACCACTGAGCCACAGGGAACAGGGATCCAAAGTTCTGTACGCACCCGTTAGTGACAAAACTGAGCTTGTATTGGGGTCTTCTTCCCTGTTCTGTATTCTTTTTCTTCTTTTTTTTTAATTTTTGTTTTTGCTCTTTGGATAAAGCATAGATCAACTTTCACTTCTTACTAATTTAATGGTTCCTTTTGCTGGATTTCCATGGTGGTTCAGATGGTAAAGCATCTACCTAACAATGTGAGAGACCTGGATTCAGTCCCTGGGTAGGGAAGATCTCCTGGAGAAGGAAATTGCAACCCACTCCAGGACTCTTGCCTGGAAAATCCTGTGGACGGAGGAGCCTGGTAGGCTACAGTCCAAGGCGTCGCAAAGAATCAGAGATGACTGAGCGACTTAACTCACTCTTTGCTGGTAATACTTGGCATTTTTCTATCAGTGGGTAAACTTTTAAAATGCTTTTCTGTCTTTTCCTTTATGCAAGCAATCCCTGCTTCCTGCCAGGCCTAAAATCAAAGCCTCCCAAAGTATGTTGATTTGTGTTTTAGTGTCTTCATTGAGTTTTCACAGAAACACACATGACTTTGACCTGTCAGGCGTAATTTCTGGAATTTTGTGTTACTATGTTTTGGAACATCTACGTTTTAACAAAAGCCATTGGTTTCTTGCCTTTTGAAAATCAGAGAAAATTGGGGGCATTGTTGCCACAAGACAAATGGTCAAATGGCCACATGAATGAATGACATTTGGGAGCCCCTGGGACAAAATACACAACACAAGTCCTGCCTAATGAACTGCCCATCCTGGCCCATGTGTTCAGTCTTGCGGCATCTGTAGTTGTGATGGAGTTGCTCCCTGATGACAGAAACTCAAGGTGATGCCTCACATGGTCCCTACGTTGGCTCATTTCATGGGTACCAAGCATGGCTCTTGGGCACGAAGTTCTCTGTTGCCCTTGTTCTGATTTCCGATGTGTAAGTAGTGTCTAGAACAGAACTTCTGAAATTGTATGTGCATGTGAGTCCCCTGGGGATGTGATGAGAGGCAGACTCTGATTCCCGAGGCCTGGGATGGAGCCCAAGATGCTCTCCTCCTCATAAAGTGTTCAGGGGCCAGCGGCATCAGTATCATCTGAGAAAGAAAGAAAGAAAGAAAGAAAGGAAGAAAGAAAGAAAGAAAGAGTTGCTCAGTCGTGTCTGACTCCTTGTGACCCCTGAACTGTGGCCTACCAGGCTCCTCAGCTCATGCACTTTTCCAGGCAAGAGTACTGGAGTGGGTTGACATTTCTCAGAAATGCAGAATCTTTGACCGCAATCCTGACCAAGGGGTAAGGAATCTGCACATTAACAAGATCCCTGGGAGATTCAAGGGCACATCTGACACGGAGAGGGGCTGCTCAGGGATGCATATCGGTACAGTCACTGCAGGAGCTCCGAGCTGCAGGCGAAGACCCACAGACAACACCTGCACCCAGGTTCTGCTGGGAGCCCTGGTGGGTCCCGGTGCCCCGGGCAGGCTCTTCAAGACCAGTCTGGGCCATCCATGCTTTTCCCTTTCAGGCCACCTTGGGGGCCCACCGCTGCTCCTCCTCCTCCCCTTCCCTCCCTGGTGGTCTGTTTCCTGACTGCATAAATACCTCCCAACCCCGCTGTGGTCCGCTGTGAACACTTCCTAGTTAATAAGCATCTGTTTTGTGCAGTGGGCCTTCTCCCCATCTTACAAGCTGTGTTCTCACTAAAGTTCCAGGGACCCCAGGCACAGATGGGGTCTGGTGGGCAGGATTCCAAGACATTTTATTGACCTCCAGCTGCCCTAAGGCATCCTAGAGGTGGCCACGTGATAACAGCGTTGCATTTCAGCTGCCAGCATCCCTCCCCTTCATGAAAGTCGGGGCCTGGGCTTGGGGGTATTGTGAGGGGAGAGAGGCCATTTGGCTCATAGAATCTTAGGAGAGTTTATGGACCTAATAATGCCAGCAGGAGAGCTGGCTGAAAGCACCATAGTGTTCCCAGCTCATCTCCAAGAAACCAACTTTCAAGGAGAGTTTATTGGCCCCAATATACCATCTTTCCCATTCTCTTGGTTTGGCTTCCTCTCATCACCAAGACAATCTCCATTCCACATGGATTCACCAAGGCAACAGGAAGGAAGGCTTTGAAAGATGCATTCTATTCAAGGGACCTTCGCTCTTTCCTCCACGGTCAATGGAAGTCAACAGGATTTAGCATTTCCCAATCATGGACGTCAGCTGAGACGTGTGTGCTTGTTGATGTACAACTGGATATGGCAGTGATGATGGTTTGATAAGGTAACACTCATATTCTAATGTAATTGGCCAAGGCAAAGAGAAAACAACGGGCAAATGCAGATTTATTTCGTTTTGGGCAAGGCTTGTTGAATTCTCAGTTCTTTCTTGTTCTAAAGAAACAGTTTTTAAAAGATTTATTTTCTCTTTATTTATTTGTGGTGATGCTGGGTCTTCGCGGCTGCATGCGGTCTTTCTCTAGTTGTGGAGAGCGGGGGTACTCTCTAGTTGTGGTGAACGGGCTTCTCGTGGCAGCCGCGGCATCTCTTGTCGGGGAGCACAGGCTCCAGGGCGCACGGGCTTTCGTGGTGGCCGCACTCGGGCTCAGCAGCTGTGGCCCGAGGGCTCTAGGGTGCGCTGGCTTCAGCAGTTCTGGCGCACTGGCTTAGCGGAATCTTCCCGGATCAGGGATCGAATGCAGGTGGGTTCTCATCCACTGTACCCCCGGGGAAGTCCTCCTCAGTCCTGAAAAGGAGAGAAGGAAAAGGAGGAGGTGTCAGATTTTCCACTCGTTTGCATTGTCTCCAAATCCGTTTGACTATTAAGCCTGTCTAGTTAATATCATATTTCTTGAAATGTTGGATCTTTGCAGCCTTCATTTACAACTATTTCTCCATGTGTAAATGATCAGAGAAGTTAAAACCACTTACGTCCCCTTCCTCACTGCGTAACTCCCTGCCATCCAGCACCCGTTTTCTCCATTACAGCCCATACCCCTGTGATTAAGTGGGGGCATCTTTAGGGGGGACTGGAGAGTGGGCTTGCAGTGGAGTCTGCACTTGACTCTTAGTCTTCTGTCCTCAGAGATGGGTCTCATCTTCTCCCTACCTAGTGTACCCCATGTTGCCTACTGGAAGAGTGTCTGAACTCAAGGGTAGACTTTTAGATGGATTCCTCCATTCCTGGATTCTCCATGCCAAAGATCTGCCTCTTCTGTGTCTTGCGTGGGGATGGCCCCAGTAGAGCACCTGTTTCAAGCATCTTTTCTGCATCCTGTGATCACCAGTCATAGATCATGTTAAGAGTAGAGCAGCATCCAGGAGGCAGGAGGGGATGCAGGCCGAGACTAGTTACTGTAGGTCTCTGCCCTGTACAACCAACTCTCTTGTTTTTGAGGGACTCCCTCTAAAACTCTATCCTCGAGCACATTTTGAAGCCTCGCAGAGCATTGTCAAACGACTTCCTACCTCTTGTATTGATAGTCTGAAAGTCCTCCCACCATCACCTTGTTTTTTAAAACAAATTTGTTTCATTGTTGTAAGAACACTTGAGAGCTACTCTTTTTAAGCAGACAAAATGGTCTTGCTGGGCTTCCCAGATCATTCAGTGGTAAAGAATCTTCCTGCCAATGCAGGAGATGCAAGAGACGCAGGTTCAATCCCCGAGTTGGGAAGATCCCCTGGAGGGGAGCTTGGCGACCCACTCCAGTATTCCTGCCTGGAGAATCCCATGGACAGAGGAGCCTGGCGGGCTACTGTCCGTGGGGTCACAGAGTCGGACAGGACTGATGGTGCTCACACGCGCAGAGTCTTGTTGACTGTGGGTACGATGCTGTGTCCCGGTCTCTAGAGCTTATTCCTGTTGCTTCATCGAAACTTTACATCTGTTGATTCGCAGCTCCCCTTTCCCCTCCTCACTCAGTGCCTCATTCATTCTGATGCCAATTCAGATGTTTGCCAGCGATCCCACTCAGCGGGGGCTAGGCTGACCGTCATGAGCAGGACACCCCGTGCCCTGTGGCAGCTTCTAGGGGACCGCGTCTCAGCGGTGTCCATCTCGCCAGAGAACGCAGGGATGGGAGTCTGAGTGAAGCACTTTCCCTGCTCTCGAGGTTGCTGTTCAGTGGCTCTGTTGTGTTTGACCCTTTGTGACCCCATGGACTGCTGCACACCAGGCCTCCCTGTCCATCACCAACTCCTAGAGCTTCCTCAAAGTCATGTCCATTGAGTCGGTGATGCCATCCAACCATCTCACCCTCTGTCGTCCCCTTCTCCTGCCTTCAATCTTTCCCAGCATCAAGGTCTTTTCCAATGAGTCGGCTCTTCCCATCAGGTGGCCAAAGCATTGGAGCTTCAGCTTCAGCATTAGTCCTTCCAATGAAGGTAATGGGAGTTTATTTCAACCCTTTCCTGACCACGACTTCCTTGCCCCTTCCTCTTTCCCCCTGTGTCTGGTGTGTTAGGAGGGGCTGGGGTCTGTTTAACACATCACAACACAAGCATCAAGGCCTGCCTGCTTTCCCACTAGTGAGTGACCCTGGAGAGGGTGGAGCCAGGGCGGAACTGGGGCCCCTCCGAAGGCGCCTGCAGACACGGATCCTTCAGGAGATGTCTCCAACAGGGCCTGGTTCTCCCGACATTGCTCCCACCTGTCCTCGGCCGGTTTCCAGGATGGCAGAAATGATGGACAGGCATCCTCTGCTGGGGTGTCCATGACCCAGGGGACCTCAGCCCTGGAGGGCTGGCAGGAGGCCACAGCCCCGTAGTCTATGATTTTCACTTCCCACTACTTTCTACTTGCAACTTTCTGTGTGCATGACATGTTGACCCAGCTGGGCCACTTTTGAGAATGCATCCAGCAGAAACAGACGAGGCACTGAACAAAGCTTTGCTTGAGATGATATTTGTCGTGGCAGCATTGCTGTGGTCTAGATGGTCAGCTGCGGCCAGCTGATGCTACTACTGCTGAGATAAAGAACATGTCCTTCGGTTGCCGGGGGAAGAGCCAGCAGCAGTCTTCCGGGTCCATCTTTTGAGCCAAAGTCATTGTCCTCCCATGGGGCTTCCCAGGTGACAGTAAGTGGTAAAGAGTTCACCTGCCAATACAGGAAGACGTAACTGACAGGGGTTTGATCCTTGGGTTGATCTTCTGGAGCAGGGCATGGCACACACTCCAGTCAGTATTCTTGCCTGGAGAATCCCATGCACAGAGGAGCTTGGTGGGCTAGGGTCCATAGGGTTGCAAAGAGTTGGACATGACTGAAGGAACTTAGCATGCACGTGTGGTCCTCCTGGGCAGACCCTGGCCAACAGTAATGATCAGGTAGGAGAAGTTAGTGACTGAAGACCCGCTACAAAAGTAGGACTTTGGAATCTTACTTGCACGATTTCCTATCGGACAGGTGAGGGCTCGGCTGGGACCACAGCACCGGGCAGTCAGCCGAGACCCTCTGTTGCCCAGCAACCTCACACTCCGAGTTGCCCCCCATGGCCAGGACCCGCCTTTGGCCCAAGTCCATCTGGTGCTCAGTCGCCTCACCCTTGAGAACCACTTTCATCACAAGGTCTGTAGCTGCCTGTGCCATGCATGAAATAGGTCCAAAGCAATTGCCGGTTCAGTAATCATCTCCTCTCACTCGTGGTCACTCTTCCGTCCCTTTTCCACGCATACTTGTCCATCCCTGAGATGTCCCATGGTCCCCAGGAAGGGACAACCGTGTGATGGACATTTCCTGTGAATGTTCGCAGAATAGATGAGATGGCAGGGATGGGCTGAGGGGTGGACGTCACCCAAGCAGGCAAGAAAAAAAAAATAATGGGCATTCTTTGAATATTTGTACATTTGTTTATTGGAGATGGCAGAATAGCCTGTATTCTATTAGTAAACAAAGATACTTATTCATAGGTATGATATTTATACCTGTGATACTTACTCATATGTATTCAAGATACATGCCTTTACATTTAGAATAAGAGATTTCCGGCATGGCCTGGGCTTAACAGAGCAAGTTCCCCGTCCCAAACTGACTGACCAAGAGCAGTGCTGGCCACGCTCCACTTGAGGGCACTGTGGTCCCAGGGTTGTTCTGGAGTCCCTTCAGCTGGACCCCTGGGCAGGCGCCTGACTGGTCCAGCTCTTCATCCAATTCTCAGGGTGCTCCCTGAAGAACAGGAGAGGTCTCCATCCTCATCGGGGACAGAAGCCTTGAGCTGAGTGTTTGGTTCTTTGGGGCTGGCTTAGCACAGAGCCCTGGCTGTCACGGCCATCCGAGAAGTGATGCCAGTCTCTGCAGGGGTGGCGAGCTCTCAGCTGCCATCCGCACAGGGGTGCCTGTCCCAGTTCGGTTCCTTACTGGTGGGAGAGAGGCTGGGTCCACCTTCCACAGAGCTGAGGGTCTGGGGTGGAGCGACTCTTGGTGCTGGCCTGCAGCAAGCTCACTGCCCAGCCTCAGGAGCCAAGCCCACGAAGCCACACTAGAAACCTGTGTGGTCAGGTTGTCATCTAGGTGTCGGCTGACTGATTGCGCCTCCTTTTTCCAGGACCAGGAGAGAGGGCTGGAATGGGCTTCACCAAGGTCAAATGCTGCCCATGTCTGGATCTGGAGCCTTTGGAGGACAGTGGAGGCTGGTCTGTAGGTGCAGGCGGAGCCCACACAGCTCGGATGCTCTCCCGCCACCGGACATGGTACCATCGCGCTCCAGGGACGAACACAAAACCTCTGTCATCCCGCGTCCCCTCAGCTCATTACCATAAACTCTATTAAATCCTGGCAGCACAATAATCCCTTCCCTGTGTATGTGTGAGCATGTATTATGCAAGATTCAAAGTCACTTGATGCCAGGAGGACAGTAAAGAGACTCTACATAGGGCAGAAATAATTTGCAAGAGCAACTTGGGGTAGAGGGTTCTCAAATGAACTCCAGTGGTCCCACAGCTTTCAGAGGGCCAGGCAGGCACCCCCTTTGAAGAGCTGTGTAACAAAAGGACCTGGCTGGGGGCATTATAATTTGCTCTAACCAGTTCCAAAGGACTCCTATTTTCAATGATGTAAAGAGACATACTAATGTCACAGGACGTGGGCATTGTGCTTAGTATAAATACACACACAAAAGCTAAGCGAGGGTATTTTGGATGTCTGGTTGGGGCGGATGTAATTAAATTTACCTTCGAGAACCCTTTGAAGTCTGTGGCTAACTGTTTGATATAAAGCTAACGTTCCCCATCAGCTCATCCGTCAGTTGCAGAATTCTCACAAATTGGGAAAGTTGCTGAGGCAGAATCAATTAGTTTCCACTAGGAGTAAAATCTGTCCTTTAGGACGGAGGCTGTCATCCCCACTCTGGCTGTTGCGGGTCACCTGGTGGGGTGACCTGCTGTGTTCAGGGAGCCGTGGGAGCTCCCAGGACCTGGTTGGGTCTGGGTACTGAGCACCGCAGCCCCATGTGTGCCATGGGGAGACCGAGGTTTCTGGCTGGCACCAGTTTCTGCTCAGGCCCAGCCCTGCCAGGGTACCGCCCAAGGAGACCTCTGCGCCACTGTGTCCCGTGGACTTGGCAGCCTGACTGGTGAGGAAAATGCCACATCTCACTGGGTGGATGATGTTGGAAGAGGCCTGTGTGTGCCACACCCAGAGCAGAAGCCCAGCAAGTGGGCTTCTTCTTTTTTTTTCCCTCTTGTATTTATTTATTTTTTTTATTGAAGTATAACTGATCTAAGTATTGTGTTAGTTTCAGGTTTATGGCATGGTAATTCAGTTATTTATATACATGCACTAAATTGCTTCAATTGTGTCTGATTCTTTGTGACCCTATGGACTGTAGCCTGCCAGTTTCCTCTGTCCATGGGATTCTCCAGGCAAGAATATTGGAGTGGGTTGCCATTTCCTTCTCCAGGGGATCTTCCTGACCCAGGGATCGAACCCAAGTCTCTCATGTCGCCTGCATTGGCAGATGGGTTCTTTACCACTAGAACCACCTGGGAAGCCCCATTTATACACATAAGTTCAGTTCAGTTGCTCAGTCGTGTCTAACTCTTAGCGACCCCATGGACCACAGCACCAAAAGCCTCCCGGTCCATCACCAACTCCTGGAGCTTACTCAAACTCATGTCCATTGAGTCAGTGATGCCATCCAACCAATCTCATCCTCTGTCATCCCCTTCTCCTCCCACCTTCAATCTTTCCCAGCATCAGGGTCTTTTTCAAGGAGTCAGTTCTTCGCATCGGGTGGCCAAAGTATTGGAATTTCGGCTTCGGCATCAGTCCTTCCAATGAATATTCAGGACTGATTTCCTTTAGGATTCACTGGTTGGATCTCCTTGCAGTCCAAGGGACTCTTAAGAGCCTTCTCCAACACCACAGTTCAAAAGCAACCATTATTTGGCGCTCAGCTTTCTTTATGGTCCAACTCTCACATCCGTACATGACTACTGGAAAAACCATAGCCTTGACTAGACAGACCTTTGTTGGCAAGGTAATGTCTATGCTTTTTAGTATGCTGTGTACGTTGGTCATAGCTTTATATACATTGATATAATTCAGTTATTTATATACATATATCCTTTTTCAGATTCTTTTTGCCTATGTTTATTACCAATTTTAGTATAATTACCTGTGCTATACAGTAGGTCCTTGTTGGTTATCTATTTTATATATATAGTGTGTATGTGTTAATCCCAAGCTCCTAATTTATCCCTCTCCTCCCCCATTCCCCTTTGGTAACCATAAATTCGTTTTCTATGTCTGTGAATCTCTTTCTGTTTTGCCAATAAGTTCATTTATACCTTCTTTCTTTAGATTTCACAAATATGCAATATTATATGATATTTGTCTTTCTCTGTCTGGCTTACTGCACTTAGTATGATAATCTGCCTCAAATTGCATTATTTCCTTCTTTTTTTTTTCATTTATTTTTATTAGTTGGAGGCTAATTACTTTCCAATATTGTAGTAGTTTTTGTCATACATTAACATGAATCAGCCATGGATTTATGTGTTTTCCCCATCCCTATCCCCCCTCCCACCTCCCTCTCCACCCTATCCCTCTGGGTCTTCCCAGTGCACCAGGCCCGAGCACTTGTCTCATGCATCCAGCCTGGGCTGGTGATCTGTTTCACCCTAGATAATATACATGTTTCGATGCTGTTCTCTTGAAACATCCCACCCTCGCCTTCTCCCAGAGTCCACAAGTCTGTTCTATACATCTGAGTCTCTTTTTCTGTTTT